GGTATTTAGAGGAAACTATCCAAAGTCTAACAGGATTTCTCTTTTGGCACAATTGTAGAATGGTATCTAGGATAACAAGAGAGAACAAATCTACAGTACACCTACCTTTTCATCTGTCTGTCTCAATGGGACCTCTGCAGATGACATGTAATTTTGAAAGGAATAAAAGAACTTGAAAGTGTTTCTGAGAGGTTATTGACAGGACCTGAAAAAATCTTTTGCAAGGGTGTATAACACACAGCCTGCCAGAAAAGGGACTTAAACTCCCTACTGTGCCATGCCAGGGAAGGCACATCCAACGCTAACACTGCATTGCTGCACAATACACAGAGGTGCAGTGTATTTTTAGAAAAACAGTTTGTGTTTTCAGCTATTTATTTAGACCTTGAAATAAAGTACTTCAGTACCACAAAAAGCAAATTAAACTGTGAAATTTTAATGTGCCTCCTCATTATTGAATCACATTTTTAATTTATAATTTCATCCTGATTCATTCCAGATTTAAACAACATTCATAATATATAATTATAAACATAAAAGATCAAATCTATCAAACCTATTATATTAATGTGTGTAAATATATTTGTGTGATACTGTGTATAATGAAAACGCAATGGAGATACCAAAAAGCTAACTTTTGCTCTGAACTTCCACCATTTGCTTTAGTGACTTAGGGACCAGATGGGTAGATTCTACCAATTAAAATAGGGGTGAACCATTACCCTGAAGACATCTGGAAACATAATGTATTAGAATAATACCAGAAAATCCAATGTTTACAGAGGGCAAAATTTAGTTACAACTGATTTGTACACAGAAGTTGCTGTAGCCAGATGCAAGTAAATTTAGCAAACCATTCATGTTCCAACCAACACTGCAATTCAACATTTTTTTGTTGGGCCATACCAAGCAGAATCTCATTTAAAGGTGATCTGGTGTTAGAAAGAATATGTATTTATGAGTGCAATTTAATCCACAATGATAGTAAAATGTACACCGTAAAGTGTTAAACCTCCAATTTACATTTCCAGGTACAGTACGTGCAGCACAATATTCTGTGATCCAGAATGAAGCAACCAAAACTTCTGGTGAGGTGAAGTAGCCATATTACATTGTAAAGAAGCAGGCTTGTTAATACTTCTCTTTTAATCCAATAGAAATATTGCCCTAGACTTTGAGATGGTTTTGCCAACAACTACTACTTACTTGTACTTACATCTGGGGACTGACCAGGGCTTTACAAAAATATGGTGACTGTGCAGTGCTTTTACAATGTTCACAATTTTGTGCTTAAATCAGAATTTGCTAAATTGTGCAATACCGTCAAATAATTTATTTTGTTACTGAGATTATATAAATGATCTGATACATTGGGACTGCACTTCCACTTTAAAAGAAGCATTAAGATAATACTTCTACCCTTTGAGATTTTTTTTTTGTGGGGGTCAGTGTTTATATTTTGTGTCTCTAGGATAACTAGTTTCATTCATTCTTTTATTTTCATTGTGTTGAATAGAGCTTGTTTCATTACATGCAGACTATGCATATGCCTTCATTTTTTTAAAAGAACAAAGGAATTCAAGTACTAAAACAGCTGAAGTATAAAGCAACCAAGCCTTAACTGCATAAGACCTAATTCTATCATTCTAAAATTGCTTTATGCCATTGGAAAATGGTGCCTTTTGTTGCTGTATGGATCTCAAATGGAGCAGGAAAGCCAGGCAAAACCTATTCATCCTAAATGGATCAATACCAATACCACAATAAAATTTTTTAAAGATAAAGAATAAATGTGATACTTCATATTAAAAAAGTATCACATTTATTAAAAAGTTTAAAGAAGAAGAGACAAAATGATACAGGATACAGTAATTTTCAATATAACTGGATTTAAGTTATATTATATAATTTAAGTATTGTCTCTGTGTTTATACTGTACATGACAATGTGACTTTCTTAAATGTTTGAAGTATTTGACTTATAGTGCATAAATATTAGCTCTCGCTAGTGCATTAAATATATTTAATCTTTAAAAGAGCAATTCTTATACCCCACAACAAATATGTGGATCATACAGTGGGTAGAAAACAGAAGTTACATGATTTCTGAATTAATACAAAGAAAAATTACAAAGTACTGGCATACAACTTGCTAGGCAAAGATGCAAAAGAAGATATTAAAGTTCCTGGAAGACGAACAGCTTGAAGATAAACCTCATCAATGTGGATCCAAATCACACTGTTTTACAAGCAGATCACTGCTTTCTGAAAGCATTATGTATTTCCAACCCACAGTTATATGAATACCAGTCAAACCTTAATCTGCTATGAACATTCTAGGAATAAAAGCTTGTTCTAGACTGTTCTAGATGTGCTACTGTGAACATCACACTATAGCAATTGAAAAATCAATTCACTGAGTGGTGGAAATAACTGATATCTGTTTAATGTATGTTATTGATCTTGTTGATATAAAGACTAAATTATTACATTGTGGCCAGGCAAGTAGACCGCTAGTGAAAAACCTGTACTTTGTTGGGCCCTAAGCGCAGAAAATGTAGGTAAATTTCAAGGTAACCGTGTAAATAATGTGATTAACCTGTGGTGTAGTTACAACTTCACTAAGAATTTCAATTGGTAATACAAACAAGTGACTGAATACATGTACAGTATATACTGTAACTGTAAGGTCAGGCAGCCTTGAGCAATAGCAGTGGGTGCCAAGTGATGTGTGGAGTGAGGGCAGTGTGGTAAAGGTCAGAAGAAACATAGTCCACAGCTATTGATTACAGATTTATTTTAAGTATGGGTACTGCTTTATGAGATTTTCTTGTCTTACCTTATGGGAGCGTGTTGAGACAAAAGGAGATGATTTCAGATTAGCCTACTTTTCAAGATAGAAAATCTTGCTTTTCAAGTGTTTGGGAAAGGGACAGCCTTCTTCAGCTCACATAAATCTTCAATAACATGTTAAATAAATCTATAAAAAGCAAGCACATTGACCTAGCTCCTTTTGGCATGCAACACAGCGTCTGGTTGCCATGGCTGCAAACAGTTACACAGGTCCATTAATTTACATTGGGAGTGGAAAAGCCACCAAAATGAACTTAGTCAAGACCGCCTTTCCGTTCATTTCCATGACCAGGGGAGCAGCAAGATGACAGGGAGAAACCTGTGTGCTAAAGATTGACCTCAGGCAACCCCTTGTAATGCTATGACACTCAGGAAGGCACTGCCAACACTCTTCCTTATCACATTTTCCACACAGGAGTGCTCCTTTCAATGCTCCTGCATGTAAAAGCTGCAAACCAAACTCTGGTCCAAAACATTGTAGGCATTTTTCAGAAAATACACTTTTCAATGCAACTTTACACTGAATAGTACAACAATATTGTTTTTTGCTTTTAGTTACAATTTTAGATGGAATCAGTATCAGTCTTATTTTTAATAGTTCAACTTTAGAAACTGCTACACCTTCAAAAACATAACTTTGTATAATATACTCACTTTTATATTTTTGTGAGGAAAGGTTTGCCAAAGAAAAAGAACAATTAACTGAAAGTGGGAGATAAACTGCTCAGGATGCATTATGAAGTTCAGTGTTTGTGGATACTGTTCTTAATTTATATGTCACAGTCAGAGACTATTAGAAATGGTATTTACTATTACATTAAAGTTAATACATCTTAATATACTATACTTAAAAATCAATGACTGTCTATGTCTACTGAACACCGATTTATCCTAGCAAGGAGTATAATAGATTCAATTGAAATGTTTATATTAATATTTATATCATATTATTATGAGTTTTTATTATAGGCTTGATACCCCCATTTAAATCCAGTTAATTCACTTAGAAGTTTTAATATAACTTTTAAAGGTGACTTAGTGTTTATTAACTTTGAAATAAACTGAATTGATAAATAAGCATTATTTATATTATATATATAATATATATGTGTATTATTTATATACTTTAAAACTCAAAGCAGTTCCCAGGATGTCTCAGTGTCACAAATTATTAAAAGTAACGTATTGTACGAGTAAAATGTTTTGAACTGTAGCAGTCTGCAGTACTGGTCATGTACTGGACAGCTATAAAATAGCAATCTTGACTTGACCAGGATACCGCTTTTACAAAACATTAATGTACATGGTAAGTCTAGAGATAGTCAAACACTATCTGCAGTCAGATAGTCACCTCAGTATATGCAGGAATCCCATTTACATATATATTCATCCAGTTGATGTTAGACATGCATGCATAAATGTTCAGAATGTACTGGCCTAACACTTTTTGATTAGGATCTGTTTGGGTGAAAGGCCACGTTTGTCAAAGTAGTTTATGATCTATTTCTGGTATAAAAATTATTGTAGAAAAATTCAAGGAAGAAGAAAAGGTTTTGCTTTTGGGTGAACAATTTGTGTAGCAGTTCATAAGAAGGTATTGAGGGTTTTTTTTTTTAATACATGGACCAGGTCACCACCTTGTTTGATACAGGACTCCAATTTCCAATTCCAAATTAGTCATTTAATGACTTATCTGTCCCAGTGAACCTGACCTGAATGATGAAGTTGATTGGCTGCAAAGTCTTCTAACATGACAAACTTCAAAAGTAGGAAGTACACAAATCCTTACAATTGCTATAGGTATCCACTCCATGAGGTGACATTTAATGAAATAGTGAATAACATTGTTTCTAGAGAATTCCTGGCTGTGACTATTTTTAACCTTGGAATACAGACTACAGACAGACAGAGATGTGGTCATACTTGCACAAGAGAGAACTGATTAATCCAGCTACTGCATTCTACCTACAGTATGTTCACTGCTTAATTATCTATAGTTTGATGAGCTACAGTACATTAAATTATAGCTGGAGTTAAAAAGAGGACTGGCAAAAACTCATCTTTTTGCCACTCCTTTTTGCAAGAGTGCCAAAGTGGGATCATTATGTCAGAAATAGACTCACTTACCTTCTAGAAAAAAGAACTAACCTGTGGTTGTGACGGAGGAGTGCGTCTCCTCACCAAGCACTTCATTCTTTACCAGGCAGCTGTAAGAGTTGTCGGCCTCCACAATAACTTTGAGAACACTGTGCACGTGGAACAGTCCATCTTTATTGGCCACCTGCGAAGTAGTCGCGTTGCCCGTCAGGTTTCTGCCATTGTTGTCATGCCACAGAAGGGTAGCCTGGGGATAGCCACCATAGGAAAGGCAGCTTAGGACCACTTCATCTCCTGGTTTCAGGTTGGAATCAGGCTCCGCATGCACCTGGGGCTTGGTGTAGGAGGCTGCGATTCAGACAAAAGATCATCAGAGAAAGAATATTTCTTTCATCAACTAGTCTTTAAAGAGTTTTGATATATCTAAAGGTGCAGCCATGTCACAATTCAATGGTTATCTTGTATCACATGTGCAGTACATAACAGCTTAACTTTCTCTTATCTGTTAGACAAAATGGAACTCTTAATGGGGAACTGCAGTCCCAATTTCTCAGAACGTTTATTAAATCTCTGTAAAAAAAAAAGAATTAATTAATGGTATTGAAAATGTTTGTTTGTTTGTTTGTTTGTTTTTTTCAAATTAAGCACACATTTCTAATTAAGCACAAAATTGAGAACTTTGTACAAGTACTGTAAGTCCTCATGTTGTTGCAAACTCGCATTCAAGTTTGAGTGAACTGAGATGTGAAGCGGCCCTTCCTGTTCACTAGTCACCGTAATGACTAATGAATTGTGATGTATGAGGAACAAGAACAGGTTGTGCAACAGACATTTCACTGCAGAAATGTTCCAACAAGATCTGCATGCTGAGTTAACAAGTAGTACTTGATGGAAAAAACATTTCAAAACCAAGAGCAATATTTCTATTGGATTAAAAGAGATATATTCACAAGACTGCTTCATTGCAATGTAATAAGGCCACATCATATTACCAGACGTTTTGTTGCCTCATGCTGAATCACAGGCGCTGCGCATACCTGAAAATGTAATCTACATTGTGATGTAAATTGGAGGTTGTACAATTTACTGTGTAGATTTTACTTTTATTGTTATTTGAAAATCACTCAATCAGTGCTGATTCTTTTTAACTTCAAAATATAAAAATAGCATTGCAGTTCCCCTTGGATCTCCTGTTCAAGCTAACAGTACACACAACAATAGCAATGCAGTTGTAGAGCTCAGTGAATGGGAGTAATTCAAAAGAGTGGACCATTGGCAAAAGTATTAATTCAACTTAGAATTCTAACAAATGAAATAAATGTTTCTTTTGACATTAAGTTTATTTGGATAAAGATTGGAATCAAAACTTGCATTACAGCACGTGAGCAAAATGCAATAATTAAAAAGGAACGAGAGATTAATTTTGAGTTTCCTGAGCTCAATAAAGGTACAGTGTAGATAATTTGAAATGTTGCCTTTAATCCCTGAAGCAATCATATAATTGCGAAACAAAGTATACCCACTCCCCAACCGAAAAGGTTTAGACGTTGCGTAACCCGATGACTGCAATGTGAGTTGTTCACAATTTTCAGCAAAAAAAGTTCGAGATGATTCCCATAATTGTAGATACTGTTATAGAAGACGGACAGATGACAAGTGGCCTAACAAACATGAATCCAGAAAAACAATAAGGAGTGGCATAAAAGTCAACAATTAAGTGGGTTAGTCATAATAGAAAAATGCATTTAAATGTTTCTTCAAAATCCATATTGACATCAGTAAAAGCTATCAATAAGGCCACGTTTGATTGATGTAGCAACTTGTCAGTCAAAACAAGAAATGGCCTGAAGTGACAGCTCTATTTCAGTAGGGTTAAAAAATTCAATTAATCTGAAAGGTGAAATCAATACATTTCAGACATTGTATCCCTCCTTCTAAACATGCATCGTAATCACGTCACTTAAGGCATTACATGTTTCTATTGGTGTTCTCTCTATGCTGAAATATTATAAGTTTGTGATTTATAGTTTTTTTCCTGTGGCTTATTAGTTGCTTTGTTTATCTGCTTGTAGTATCGACTGCAAGCAATTGTAACATTATTGATTTTACACAAAGAAATTGGGCAGGGGTAAAGCAAACAGAAGAATAATACAGTATATTTTTTTCATGTTTTATTTTTCATTTGAGAAAAAATAAGGTTTTATTCCTCTCCGTGCATAAGTGCATCGTTTTGAATATAATAATGGAAGAGATCACCAGAATGGGACATCAAAAACTAATTCTTGTGTAGATATTGACTGGCAAAGTGATTGATGAAGTGCACATATTTATCTTTTAAAGGCCCAAAGGCTGTGAAGGTAACATTAGATAATCTGACCAATGATTGCTATCAATGATCAGCTATACTGAAGTCTAATTATCAAACATTATTATCTTGGCTATTGACTTTGCTGGGGGTTGTTTATTGATTAAAGGCATTGACTTCTATTTCTAAGAGGGAACATTTCTTTTTTTTTTTACATATGGGCATCCATTAAACCTAAACTGGCCAAATTATTGGGGGTGTGTAGTGTGATTTACTGAACCTAACTACAATCCAGCATCATAAATATCTATTACAACAAATTTAGTTATTGACATTATGGAAGATGCCTTCCTTACATCAGGGAAATGACGGAAAAAAATCATAGAATTAAAACTACTTCCAATCCTATTTTTTAAGTGGTCCATTCAGAGGTGGGTGGAAAGTATGTTATTTCATTGGATAACAGCTGCAAATGGACCTGTTTTACAAGGTTCATGTGTGGGTCCAAGCTGGGAAAAGCCTGTGACTGCCAAGCACTTGTTTTTGAAGTGTTATAGATGCCAGCTGTTAAGCTTGTCCACAGCTCAGAAAACAAGGAATGGACCATATGTGGGTTTCAAGGTCATAAAAATCCTAAGACAGTAAATAAGGGAAATCCAAAGCCAGGGTCAAGGGGCGAGCGAAAGTGCAAATCCAGAAGACAAATTTAATGTCAAGCCCAGAAACACAATCCAAAAGCCAAGGTCAGGAAACAGGCCAAAATCCAAAAGCCAGGCAAGGAGTCCAGGAAGAATTCAGCAAAGGCTAGATCAAGAGCTCAAAGAATTGTAAACAATACTGAACACAGCTTGAACAAAGAGCAGGGTTTAAATAGGTTTGGGGAGGGGAGGCGTGGTGAGTTAGGGACACTGGGCAAGCAGGGACTGGCTACTGCCATCTGCTTGATCTGTGCCCCTGCTGCACAGATGGAAGTAGGCACTAGTGGTTGGGGTGCCCTCTGGTGGCTGGAACTGTAACACCAGCGTGTTTTCACTGTTACACGATTCCTGAAGGGAACTGCACCTTAATGAAACAATAGTAACAGATTGTTTTTGACAACAAAAATGGACCCCTGTGAATCAAGTTGTCACTTGATGAATACCAAATTGGTCTTGTCAAAGTACACCATACCGTGGCTGTCTGGAAGTGACAGAAAAGCTCTTAGCATTTTGGGACGCCTAGTATGAATTATACTGTACACCTTTGAAAACATGATCACATTCCAATTTTGGGACCCCTGCCCACAGAAGAAAAGATAGGAATAAACTATATTTATTGATACCGTATTTAAGGTATGAAAAGAAGCATATCGCTGTTTCTGAAAGATGTAAAAGTACTAGTCTACTTTTTTATGATACTTTTGTGAAAGGAATCTCATTTCTAATGTCTAATTTTAGGGACCATAATTCTTCTAAGAAAAACAGTAATACCAACCACTATCACAGCAGTCACAAGATAGTTACCTTTATTAATAGTTCACACAGAAGCAGGGCTCTGAAAGCTAGAGCATCTATGTACTGTATATCATGTTCAATAGCTGCAAGCACTCTGAAAACAAGCTTATGCAAATGATTCAAATGCGGTGCTGTAGGCTGGTTTTAATGAGATGTCCTAGTGATTTTGGTTCATTTTAGCTTGATGCTCCTGGTGTTAATTTTAAGCTGGTGGGCCTGCATCAATTAAGTAAACTCACAGGTTAGAGTTCTAGGAGGAGAGACAGGGCCATTCTTTTGTTCTGCCACCTGAATATACAAAATCCCCTAACATGGATGAATGCCAAGTAATCCATCTGGTAAAAACCTCTATTAGGAATGGATTAAAAACCTAGCAACCTTGGTGCCACCAGGCTGAGTACAGGTTCCTCAATTTGCAACTTTGTCCAGGTTTCTCCAGAGGGACAATTTTATTTTTCAAACACTGCCAAGCATGCCACACTGCACGTAGGAATGTGCTGGTACTCTTCAGTTGATGTGCCTGTCATAAAGCATAGACTTGATTGCTTAAGTTAGTTATTTCAGAGACCAATGGAGACTGTCCTAGCAAGCAGGACATTGAGCAAATGACTTAAGCTCACTTAGATCATTTCAAGGGTATAAGAGGTTGAATATCAGATAGAGATTACAAATAAATGTATAAAAGAGAAGAGCAGAAAAAAAGAGAAAAGGGAAGAATAAGCTTTTTTGTAAATTGTAAAATTTAATCTAAGAAGTTGACTCCATCAAGGGGTGTTGTCTCAGCTTCCATTTTTTTATTATATTGAAAAAGAATTACACACTCATTTAAGAATCACTGTTCTTCTGTCCTGACTTAGTGATTCGATTTCAAATATTATATTGCTACACTGATGGATTTTTCTGTTAGTATTGCAAAGTCATATCCAGATAATCTTAACATGGGTGTTACTAGGTGTCCCTATAGTACCAAAAAAAAAGAAAAATTTTAAATTAAAAAGCATTAAAAAGAAAAAAAAGAATTGTTGGATTCTAGAAGTTTCTGTTTCTTTAACGTAGCTGAATCAGTTTGTATAAAAAATGGGCACAGCTGTTCAAATGTTTTCCACATGCTAATGCAATAAAGAAGCACCTATACTTTGCAGAGCAAAGATAATGTAAGATAATCCAAGTAAACATTTTTTCTTTGGAATTAACTAAGAAGATTTTCTGAGAGACAAAAAAGACTGTGAAATACCCCTATAATTCTTTCAAAGGTTTGTTTGCCTATAATTCCAACATACTGTATGACTGTGTTGCCTTTTTCATCTGGTACAAAGATATCTTTCTAGATGTCTGGTGTGAGGAAGTATAAAGAATTTGTTTTCAAATGATCTGTTGAAAAAAACGTTTTAAATTTGCATAATATATCCCATACTGATTTTAGGTACAACACCGAATTCCTGTAAAGTATTTGTAAATGAAGAGGTGACATCTCCCATTAAGCAACCTTACCTGCAACCTGTAGCAGCAATACTGCATTTTTGTACTCTTTGATTCGGACAAAGCACATGAAGCTGCCCTCATCAGCAATCTGGACACCACGGAGAAGCAAAGATGCATTTCCAGAGTCCAGTTCCTTGAGAAACAGACTAGTGCGGTTGATGTAGTTGGATCCTTGGTCTGTCAGCTGGTCCCGCCCATCATAGAAGCTGTGGACCACACGCTTGGTGTCAGTCAGCTGCCAAAAGACACTTATGTCTGAGCGATTAAAGGTTTCACCCGTGGAGAATGAACAGTTGAGGGTTGTGTCGTTTCCAAACAGAGCCACTACTGGAACTTCAGGAACTGTGACATCTAAGACAGCTATAAAAAAGAAAAGGAAATGTGTCAGTGTAACCCATCATCAAAAATCATTAGATATACACCATATCTGAAGGGCAAATGTTTGCACATCTTCAGGTTGGAGTGTAGGACTACAATTGCTTGTTTGCTGGCCTCAAATTCATTTATAGGATACTTCTTTTGGAAAATAACATTTCTTTTGAACAAACATTTCTGTATTGTAATCTTTAACATTAGTAAACAAAAGAGTAGTGATATGCAAAATGGAACTAAGATATGTTTTCTGTTCTTTGACACTAAGACCATTAAGTAAAAGTAGCTTTGGTCTTGCAATTGTGGAGACTGAAAAAACGAACCCACGGGTAGCATGTGCAGATACATATTTTTATAAATTGTTACAAAAAGTTCTTCATGTCTTTAATGTACAGCATATTAAAGAACACATATATACACGTGTTTGACACATGGACTGTGACAAATAAAGCCAAAATTGATTTTGAAGATATTTTGCTTCTATGAGTTTTGTTTTCATGAGTTTGCATTCAAGCTGGGTTTACTGCTGGCTGTGCAGATTTTCCAGGTACAAATGAGCACAGCAGGGGGTCCACATGTTTGCTTTTGAAGGCATGTCAGGTAGGCAGATATCTAGTAAAGCAATAGCTAGGGCCAAGAACCATTATGCTCTGAAGAGTCTGAAATAGATTCAAAAGCACCCCAGAAACCAAGCCAATGGTGTAAAACTGTGTGGAGAACTCGTCAAATATGAATGCAAGATGCTCTTTGCTCTTATTCTGTTGGGTGGGCTTGCTTTCAAAGACTTGAACCCAAGTTGTAAAAAGAAAGCTATATTTACACCAGAAGCAAAAACATCCAATTTGCTCAGCATGCTAGCACTACAAAGTGAAGGGAACGGCAAAACAGACAGGTTTGTCAGTTTACGAACACACGCCAAGAGCAGCAATTGAGACCAATGGTCCCCGTCTCTGCACAAACCATACACATCGGTAAATGCCTCAGTGCACATCACTTTGGTAGAACCTGCAGTTTTGAAGCAGACTTACAGTCACTGCTCCTGCTCCCTGTTGAGCAGAGCCTTTAATGCTTTTCGCACTGTCAACCCGACAGCCTGTGAACAACTTCAGAAACTGGCGGGACTGGAAAGTAAACCAAGAAGGCGTACCCATCTGTCACTGTGAATAAGGGAGGAAAGGGATCTCCCTAAAACACCAGCACATGTCTTAAAGATAAAAGAATCCAAGGACAGTTCATCACTCAGAATGTCTTCTGGAGTGCACTGGTCAGTCAATAATCTGTTTTGAGCAATGCAGGCATGACTGCTCATGACTGCTTTAATTGACTGGAGGGAAGCAAAGATATTAATACACAAATGTGCTATATGATCCAATACTTGATCGTCACAACTCCCATGCAACAATTTATAACCAAGGCTGTGTGTTTTTCAAAGCTCATTTATCTTTTCTTTTGCAATTCAGTCTTGAACTTTCAGAGATCAGTACAATTACGGCTACGAAGAAAGAAATTATTTGTATTCTACAGTTAGATGTACTTATATATGTAAATTTCCTATGCATGCAAATACCTTCTGCTACTTCAGAAATTAATGTTCTGGATATTTGTATAAAAAACAGCTTACAATCAGCAATGTACATTTAAAAGTCAGTTCAGATTGGCTTTTTTGCCTTTGAACTATTTCCTGATTTAACAAGCAAGGCTGGAAGATTTCTCCATCACCAGTTCTGAGGATGCTGAATTAAGTGTTGTTATAAGAAGATAAGATTTTAATGTCCCCTGAGGGAATTTTTTTATTGACGTTTAAATGCAAACAAGAAAAAAAAAGGAGAAAAGAAAAACATTGCACATTACTCTATTGCACATGTACAGTATAACACATAACAACAGGTACCATTTATAACACATCACAAAACATATTGAACTCAAGTGGGTTGTAAGAGTCAAAATTGTGTTTATCCTTGACATTTAATGCTATGTCAATCAGTTATATACTGTATCATATTGACCAACTAATAGTGATTTGGCAGTCTGCTATGTACAAGAGCATGCACATGAACTCTTTCTGAACTACTTTTATTTTACAAATTACATTAATAATTCAAGAAATATAATAAAAAAACATAAATCTGGCTTGCCAGAATACAGAGGTAAATAGTCCTACTTTTATCAACAGTGCTATTGAATCTTTAATAACAAAATAGTTAGGTCCTCACTTTAACATCTCATTTGAAGGATAGTATTTCCTGCAGCACAGTGCATCCTTTCATAATACTGGAGCATTGGGGTGGAAATTCTGGTCTAGAGGAAAGTGTATAATGTGGGTCCTCCCACATTATTTACAGCAGCAAACTGGTTTGCCTTAGAGGGACTCATTCCCAAGGATGAGTAGAACGAAGGAGGGTAGAACGATTCCCATTGTGTCAAACTGTTCTAACTCATCATCTTGCCACGAAATGCTTTAATGAAATCTAGAAATGAAGTTAATCTTTTCTTTTAATATTCAGTGCTCCAAACTAAGTGATCATAAATTCAATTAAACAGGTATTGTCCTACTACAGGATTTTGTTGGCTTCCATCATTCTTTACTTCTTTAGTTGAGACTAATGTGTGTTAAACATCTATTAAGTGATCCCACACGTACACACAAACATTGCCTTACTTTGGTTATACAATAATGTTTGGACACCAGTTTTCATTTTTTGGTCCTAAATAGTTTTCAAAGTCGAGTGCTGGTTTATGGACAAAGAAACAGAGTTTGCTATTCTTCGTGCTTGTTTCAGCTAATTTCCTACAGAAGGGATTTAATCCAACAGCAATAAATTGCAGTGTGTGATTTGAAATCTGTGCTTTACTTGCCAGGCTTCCTGGGTCAGGACCCAACTTACATTTCAAACCTGCTTTTGCCCTGTGAACAAAGCCTGTCTCTTACATTCTGAGAAGAGAGATTATTCTGTGTGCCAAGAACTAGGCCACATACTGTGAAAGGTAGAGTTTACAGCAAGAACATAAGACTACAGAGACCTTCATGGCTCTCATGGTCACAGGCAAAATTTCACAATTCACATTTATTTAAACAGAAACCAAAATATAAGTTCTTGATATAGTGTATATGGAAATGATTAAATATTCTGATCCACATTTTTTGTTTGCTGGCAGAACATTCAAATATGACAGTTAGAAATGCAAGCTACATGGTAGAAAATGTTGCCTCAATTCATTATTTTTCATTTTTGGAAGTGAAAGTACTTTAAAACCTCTTACTGTTACTTATAATTCTGTGCTCGAATGAAGGTTGTGACACTCATATTTTATCGTGGCCCCAGTTACAAGTTATGTGGGTATAGGTGTTTAAACAATGTACTGTATAGTGATGTAGAGAGCATGGTGCCATACGTATTCAGCAATACAGAAGTACCATTTCTATGCCATTGCTGGAGTTCACCTCGGCATCTGAATTGGTATAAATTTAATTTTCTATCTGCAGTTACACTGCCACCTATCGGCAATCACTATTTCATAGTGCGTGGCTAAATCTAGTTCTATAATGCACAACTTTAAATTACAGTTATGTGGAGGGTTATTGGTTTTGCAGTCACATACACTTTGTTCTGGAAAACAACAGTATACAAAATAACTTTTTTTCATGTAGGAATTCTCACAATGACACTAGACTTTTTCATAACCACAACACAGAAATTGTATCTGTATATAAATGACTGCTCAATGCCACTTTTTAAACTATATTGTCTATTTGTTGTTTTACTTGTTTAACGTGATTATACAGTACATCATCCACTGGTGTTTTCATTTGAATTGTGTTTATTTGACATTGCTGCTCCTCTTCTAGATTAAAAACTAAATTAAAAATGCAAACTAATGTTTGATTAGAAACCTAATGAGTTTGCACCAGTGCTCTGAAAATCTCTATCAATGTCTATCCATTGAATCATGTGAAGTATTTGAAAATACACCCCTTACTATCAATACTTACACTTGACCATTCCTTTTAAAAGAAGCTAGATTTTCTGAATAACTGGTTTGAATGGCAAATATTTCTCTATTGTTATAGAGTAATTTGCATAACAAGATATAAAGGAATTAAGGATCAAAAGGGTTAGACTGAACAATGGCATCTGTTGCACAACAGAGTTCCGTACTCACAAAGGTAAGGCAATAAAATGGAATATTAGGCAAAAAGGAATAGGCTCTGTAGACACATCTTTATCTAACATATGATTCTCCTTACAGCTCTCCCCTCCAGCTACTGATCAGATACAGCTCTTCTGAACAGTTGAGATCCTCCAGGAACAGGCTTCATTTTAGAGAGCAGGATTAGATGTCAAAAGTATAAAAACTGTAAAAAGGCTGTGTTTGAAACGAGGTAGAATATTTCTCACACCATTTGTAGCTCTGATCATAGTGTACAGGGCTATACTCACAATGTTACAAATAATCTACCACATCATGATGCTAGAGTACAATATTTGCTCTTTCGCATTTCTATTCAAATTTCTTTTGTGCAGCATCATGTTCAATTTCTTAATTACTGTATGAGTGGTTTTTAGTACTATTAAGCTCTTAACACATGCAATTCTTCATTTACAATTTGGTACTTGAAGCTGCATTAATCTCCACACTCAGAGCTAACATAAATGAAAGCATTTTTAAGGATTCTAACAGAGACTTTGGCCTGCTAAGACTGTCTGCCCCTGATTATTGTGTTACTATGGTGAAGTGTTATTTCTAAATGGGCTATTCATGTTTTGATGAAAAATAAATGATTCAGCAGTACTGCTTCACTACCACCTTGCTGAACTACTTTCTATTTACACTGACAATCACAATACGTCACTCAAAGCAGGAGAATATGCAAAAATAAACCAAAATCGTACTCATGTTTGGTCCCTTGTTTGTCTGCAAATAAGCAGGTATCATCTTCTGTTTGTTGTTTTTAATTTATTTTTTAAACTTAGAACAGGAATCAAGCG